TTCGGCTTTTCAGAAAGTTGGAGGTGGTAACTCATGGTGGATATGTAAAGTATATGCAAGAGGCCAAACTCGGCATATAAGTAAAATACAATGTCAAAAACTAGTGTCAGTGTGTTTGGATTTAATTAAAAACACTGCAGCTGAAAACTTAATGTGTCATTAACTCTGTTGAGCCGAGCCGATCGTCACTGTCTCTGTGAGAAGTAAAAAAACAAACAAATGACCCCAGGGTTGAGTTCATCTCTTCAATTAGTGAGAAAATCATCATCCTAAAGAAGACCCACTTTGACAGGTGTCACTTTAGAAACAGCCGAGCGTTGAGGACAGAACAAAATACTTTGACAGCAACGTAGCCAGAGGCAACGAGTAAAAGTTAGCCTGGAGAAATGTCTGTAACTACATCAACAGGACCTACGTACATTCATGTATCAGCAGTGCCTCTTGTTCAACAAACACATGGTCACCGTCACTGACTTTAATCCTTATATCTATATATTGTATCTTCACCACGAATTGTGCGAGAAATGCAAAGACGAATTCCATGTTTGCACACAGACGTATCAGATCGCATTCTTGGACAACTGGTTGTGTTGCTTCTTACTGCATCAAAGTTTGTTGGATCAACTTACATGGCCTCAGATTCCCCGTCTCAGTTCAGCTTTGCATTGTTTGACTTCTCAAACAGTTCGTGCAGGGTTTGTCTAATGGCAGCTTGTTCCCTACGGGCTCTTTACTGATGTAGATAATAACAACATGTGCTCATCAGGGGAATAGATCTTAACTGGCTGGAACCTTTCACCTATTTTCTGTGAAAGATTTCTTCAGCAGATGTTTAACACGTGAGCTTAAAAGATTCATGACATCCTTCACCAAGGTGTTTTATTTTGAAAAGAACCGTCCACAATTGTTTCTCCATTTCCTTTAACATTGAAATATAAGGTGTTTTATAATTTTTCCACCAATGTCCCTGGGAATAATAAACTTATGGTGAAAAAAAAAACATCTTTAAAAGACTCACATCGATTTTTGTGCTTTAATTTATTGTTCTTATTAATGTGTTTGATTATGTTTGGTTTCTATGCAGCAACTGAAGTTTAATCCTTTAACCCAACCAAGTAACCTTGATTACTTTTAGACACTCAACGCATTCAGTAACTGCAACATCTGAAACCTCGCCTTAAAGTATTTTCATTTATGAGAAGTTATCTAAACCCACTGCATTACAATCATCACTCACCTAAGATAAGCAACGTACAGGGACCAAAGCAAACATGTTCAACCCGGATTACTGTCAGTAAAGTTCGAGATAAGAAACAGATACTTGGTCTTAAAGCAAAAATCTCTGTGCAGCAGCGAGAGACGACTTTGAAACTAAAACTTAACTCAGCAGGAAAGAGCCTGACTGTGATTCTCACCAGTCTTGTTTTCTTTTCCACCACCAACAGCAACCAGTTAATATTTCACGGTACCAGATTCAGCCAACAAATATAACACTGATGAAACTTGGGATAAAAAAGAAGCATGTTTCAGGCAATGATCTTTTAATTTTAGATCTTAGAGAAACCACAATTTCTTAAACTTAAAATTCACTGTACATACAGATGTCTCCTGAGTGTATGTTTAAGTAATGTGGTACATTTTTATTTAAATTACTGCTTATGAGTACATGGTGCAACATACTGAACAATGAAGGTTGATTTCATTCTGAGATATCTACTGTAAATATAAGCAAAAAGACTTCTTACATGAAATCAAGTTGCAGTGCTGTGGCTGCTGCAGGAGGTGGCACCACACTGCCCTCGTGTGGCTGGAATCATGTCTTACAAACTCATCAGCGAGAGCCGTGTAACCTCGCTGAGTAATGTAGTGGTTTTCACTGATCATAAAAACATATAAACAAGAGTCCGCAGAAAAACATATAAGGCAATGATGGACTGTTGAAGTAGGAAAATAAACTGCACGTTGTTAAAGGGCCAGTTCAACCCAACCCTTCCTCTGGCAGAATCTGCCATGAAGACAGTTACTACCTGAAGCAGTCAAACTTTCACAGTGACCAGCTTGAAGCAGAAACAATTTGTTAATTAATCCATTAGTCAAAAGAAAATCTTTAGAATTGTACAATGTTTTACCCCTATAATAGAAACATAAAAAGATCTTTGGGTTTTGGTTTGACACATTTGGAGAAGTCCCATTTATTTTTACAAAATGGTCACTAGGAAATATCTGAAGATTAGACTTAAAATTATAATATTTTGAAAACCAAAACCTTCCATTTACCTCTGCTGTACTGCGGCTGAGGTTTTCTTTTTAAAATGTATTCTGAACTGACACTTTGGCAACGTTAACTCCTCTTCTTCTTTTCTCATTTGGTAGTAATGGCGACCCCCCTCTTGACCCAGGCGTTGCTGCTGACTAGAGAGAGCATGAAGCGAGCCACGTCTCCTCTTCCCACCGCACTACCTGCTGGCTGACCATCGCTGTGGGGCACGAAGTATCCCTCGTGGGTCAGAAACTCTTGAGCTGTTGGGGCACAGAGATGAAAACCTGAGAGTTAGTGGTGTTATGACATCTGGGACCTCAAATAGAGAAAGGTGCACATCATCTTGCCTGTAAGCAAACGAGAACCTCAAGGGACGGCCTGTTATTTACCCAAATGGATCCATTCATATAAACAAGCCAGTATATGATGAGAACACGTGCTAATCAGCTTGAACTGTGTCAAACTGGATCCTGAGGCAGTGGATCATGGATAAAGCACCCTGGCGACAAACAAACTGTCTGTTTTAAATCTGTGCTTGTTTCGCTGCCTGGAAGCAAATCCACCAAGCTCTGTTTAGAATTATTGATATTTTAAACGATTCAGAAAATTCTCCTTATTCCATTTTCAAGCTGCTGTTTTAAGATTACCTGAGGCCGGCAGGTTCTTGAGTCCAGGTGGACGGACCACAGTCCAGGTGACGTCCTCAGTCTTCTGCAGAAACTGCTCCATCTCGTACATGTTGGTGAGGACGCTTCGGATCATCGGCAGCAGGAGGAAGCGGATGAGGTAAGGCGAGTGAGTTCCTGAGTTAGCTAACAATAAAGAAAAAAAAAGCGTTTCGATGTGAAGAAACTTTACATTCTACACAGAATTCAATCTGTCCATTATTGATTAATCAAATTATTGTTTTTGACACAATGTCATTCAAAAGGCTTCAAAAGCTTAAGACACTGAAAGAACTACGACTTTATTTCAACTTCTCCAACTACGCTGTTGCATTATCATAAATTAGAAAAGGCCTTGAAGGCATCATCATGTGACCTACGCTCAGTATACCAGGAGGTCATGGTGATGATCCTGTTGACGCGGGCCTCTCGCATGGCGCTGATCATGGCCTTCATGGAGAGGGTGTAGCCCGACACGGCCGAGAAGAAGGAGGTCGGGAAGCCGAGGCAGGACATGATCACATCCTGTCCTCTGAAATGACTCTTCAGACTGTCCGCAGAGAAAATATCAGCTTCCACCACCTGGAAGTAGACAAGGAGAGTCAATGAGAGTCTTTCTTTGCATATGAAAGACCTTTGTTTTGGCACATGAAACATGTTAAATGTCAGGTGGTGTTAAAAGACAAGGCTGGTGCACAGTTTTCTTCTTGTCAGCAAATCCCGTGAAAAGACAAAAGTGAGCTGGTTTGTCTTCAAATACTTTTTGATTTGAAAAATCAGGAGAACGGTGGCTCGGCCCCCAGCTCATCCCGTCTGCAGGTGGAAGATGCTTCTGGCGAGACACTGAACTTTAAATTACCCCTGATGCCTGAAAGGCCGACATGATAAAGAAGTGCTGTATAAAAAGACCCGTGTAAAGAGCGGTTGTTTAATCTAAAAACACAGAATATAAATACAGTTTATTAACCTCGATAAACAGAAGAATCTTTAAAGGCAGTCACAAATGTAAAATAAAAATAGACTCACTTGAATCTTGTTTGACGAGAGATTTGCATCATTAAATAATAACATTGACTCTTTCTTTTCTATCAAGTCATCAATGTATACAATATTATTGGTACAATTATAATTTATTTTGTATAGTATATCCACATCTTTAAATGCCTTTGGTCCTGGAATCCCCTTATTTTTATTTCAATTTGTGTTGTGGATTGTGTCTTGTTAATTGTATGTTTGGCATGGAGGCGGAGGACTGTGCTATAATTTCGTTGTGCTTGTGTACGAAGTACGACTGTGCAATAAGAAAATAGTCTTTTGAATTTGAATTGAATTTGAACCATGCACAGTAACGTTTGTGGCTACCGCCCAGAAACATTAGGAGTACTTCAGGTGTTTCCTCCTCATGTGAGATCGCACTGACTGACCTGAACTTTGAGCCCAGCAAACAGAGAGGAGCAGCAACGACAGCCTGTAACAGTCACGCAGCACAATAAAACACAGAGTCAGTGTGGCACTACCTTGAGATTATCATGATGTATGGCAAGTTTTCCCGGGTTCCTGACGATGGCGGTGACCATGTGACCCTGCTGCAGCGCCTGGTTGACCAGAAACTGACCAGTCTGCCCGGTGGCTCCCAGCACAGCGATCTTCATCCTCAGACTCTGAGCTCAGTCAGGGCTGAAGCTGATCAACGGCTCGAAGCGGTGAATGGTCTGACCTCTTTAAGTAACGACAGGGGAGGTTCCTTCCCTGTTTCGCAAAGATCAAGTGTTGAAAATGGATTATTCCGGTGCAATAAAGAGCCTTTGTGACCGATGTTGAATATAAAAATAATTCCACAGTGCACTCAATAAATGTACTTATTCAAATTTAATTCAGGTGCCTCCAACATTCTTATCTTTGACAAGATTCTACACTTATCAGATAAAAAAGACCTACTGACCTTTTCTAGCTGTTATGTAACTGACACTTTTTTCACTATGGTGTATTAAGTGAAGATTAATGATATGGGATTGAAAAATACCCATTAAAGATGTTTCATCCAATTAACAAATTAATTTCAATTTTAATTGTGTAAAACATATAAAAAATAATCTCACATTTGAAAGTGAGGCACCAGAAAATGTTTGACAGTTCAGCTTAAAAAAAACAAAACAAATATATATATATATATATATATATATATATATATATTATTTTTTTCGAATTAAATCCTAAATCCATCTTTCATTTCTGAAGTGAGAAAACATCCCAATTAAAGCCTAGTTTATGCTTCTGCGTCACGACGACGACGAAACACAAAAACCTCAACGAAACCAGGCGAGCAAGACAAATACTGTGCATCACTGTTGCAGCCAAACTGAGCTGAATGGATTATTTCTGCAGCAGAGGATGATGATGAGCGTCTTGGTCAGATGCTCCTGAGGAAACTACCCTCACACAGTAGTTTGTACAGTAGCTGCTAATGTTTGAGTGTCTGGGATCCACGAGGACAGAGAAATGTGACCCATTTTAAACCATAGAGACGCAGAAACTGTCGCATAATATACCGTTATTTTTGAAGATTTCTAAAGAGGAAGAGGAAAGATTTTCACACAAAATGAGGTGCTGCTGTCTATGTACAGCATTTCTAACTATTAACTATCATTCAATTGTCATGGCCAGGCCACTCAGTGAGGCAGATATGCTACTTTGTACACAGAAGGACGAGAGCTGCATTTAGAGAGCGTCAGTTTGACTTCTCCAGGGTAAAACCAGCCTCATTGGTTTCAGGGAAAACCCGTGGTGGTTAATTGTCACCAAAATCTCTCAATGGAACTGCTCCCAAATACACAACAGATATGATCCAATACAAGCCTGTGTGTCCCTGTGATCACTGGGGAGACTGTGTTTCATCTAAGTTGTACAAACTGTAGTTTTCTTTACCCTAGAATGGCCCTTTATATTTAAATACTGTACATAGGGGGTGGGTCCTCTCTACGAAGAGCACCATGTTTTTTTTTACAGTAGCCCAAACTGGACAAACTAAACATCTTTTGAGTTTTCAGATTTATTTGTAGTATTTTACTGATTATGCTTTTTTAAATTTTTCATACAGATATTCTTTTTATTTCTTTAAATCTCTTCACCTCTTTTATTCTACTCTTTACAATTTCTTCTCTTTTGTTTTGCTTGAAAGTTGTTGCTGTCAAACAGTGGGGCATTATCGCCCCCTACTGGCAGTACAATTTACGTTGTGCAATCAGCAGTAGTGTCAGTTTTTACTGAAAAAGGGCAAATATTTGTTCACGTTGTGTAAAAATAAATGTGCCGATCTCACTATTAGTTGTTCCTGAATGCTATCTATCAATTAACAAGCTGAGAATGATCCACCAGTGACTTAAAAACAAAAGAAAACTTAAAAACCTGATAATTCTCGGGCGGGTTCCTCAGATGTAATGGCAGCGTTTCTACTCGGAGTTCCACGGTGGTTTACGGACATTTGTGAATAACACTAATGAGTTTTAACACAAACTCACAGTTTCAACACAAACCGAACATTAGAACATTACAATTGTCTCGATATAAACACAATGAATCCGTGTATGTGACTTGAATACATCAGCTTCCGTCCTGTCCTCGACTTGTTATCACACACATTTAAAACCTGAAGTATGAATCTGATGAGTGGTGCAGATAAAAACAGTTTGTTGTAGATGTTACACGTTGTTGTTGTTGTTGTTGAACTAAATCATCGACACACAACAACTCACCTTCTCCATCTACTTCCTGTCAGCGAGGGAGGCGTTCAAGAGCAGCAGCGTTCAGGTGTGTTGGTTAAGCAACGCTTTTTAAAAGTCCCATTTTCAAGATAATGTCCCAAAAGTGTTTTGATTCAATTTAATAATTAACTGATTAATTCATGTTAATGCTTAATCCATCAAGGTTTTGTAGATCTAGGGTTAGGTTTGGTGTTTGGTTTAGAAAATACTCCTATATCACTTTGCTTGACTTTTTAAATGGGTCAAACAGCTCATTGGAGAGGAATGGTAAGGTGCAGTGCTGGAAGATGACTTCTCTCACAACCCATTACTCATTTAACACTCATGGATTAAGATTGATTTGTTAAGAATGAAATATTTATGAGTTATTGATAACGCCTTTAATTAAAGCACTATGAGAAAGTGGTAACAGATTTCTATAGTGGTGGTATAAGAATAAAACAAGTCTAATTACTTGTGACACGAATGATAATTTCTACCTGAATGTTGTAGGTTTTATTCACCAACTGTGACCAGGTCAGGAAAGAGTCACGTTATTCTTTGAATAATTAGTAAAATAACTGACTACAAACAATAAGAAGTCAAAATAAAACCATAGATAAACCCAGCAACAAACAGAACCTTCCATCTTGTCTGTGGGGAACATTTCAAGCTTTTATTTCAGCCTCACCTGAACAGCTACAGCTGAACAGATCTGCAACAGCAGACCCTGCTGTGATAAAACATGGAGGGGTCAGTGAGAAGCACATCAACAATTCCTATAGAAAGATTTAATTAAGTTTGTTTACGTGAGTTCACACCAGCCTGGACTCAAACAAGCACCTGTGATCAAAAAACATTTCCAAAAACCAGAAACAGAAACGAGCCTCTCTCCTCCCATGCATGTTTACCTCTGCACTTTGGCATCTTCCTATATTAAGACCAGTCTAGTCGCATCAAGTCATTAGCTCGAGTAATCCACTTGTGGCTTGGTGCCTTGATTATGTGATCACATCGAGGGACTGAGCACTGAGACAGAATCAACACAGACCGGTGGAGCTGCACTCTGGAGATACAGCTTCATCCATGAAGCCTCTGTGGTGACTTACTGGCCCCTGATGCCATTCATCTCCCTACGATGACCGGTCTGACTGACGCCCTGCGCTTCTGGACCTGACCCTGGTGGACTGGTGGAGTATGAGACAGAGCAAATGGCTGTGTGAAAACTCGCTGACACACAGCACTGACAGACGAAAAACTTGGGAACTGGTGCCGGAAGAGAGGGGGTGACCACGTAAGTAAATACATGCAGGATATCATATGTCATCATTATGGATTCTTTCTAGATTGATTTGGTCAGAATAAAGTCTGAAACATCTTAAAATGTATCTTCAAGGTTTAAATTATTCTTTTAAAACTTTTCCCCACGCTATTATTTTATGTCACAGCACCATTATTCTTTGGGGTAATTAATTTATCATTCATAGAACAGTGTTTTGGTCTGAAACCCGTCTGAGTAGACGAGCTGTGTGGGTTTAAGAAGGCCAAAACCAACACAGCCAAAGAAAGTTATCTGCAAACACACTTGAATAAAATCTACATTAGGTTTGTAACTTGTAAACAGTAATTTAGGTATCATTTATTTACCCTAAACAACAAAGGGATATTTTAAAATACAGTTTCCATATTTGAAATCCATCATTTAATCAAAATAACTGCAGGTCATGATGACTGTTTCCCGCCTCCTCGCTTTCATTGATAGCTTAATGTAAGCCTTCGTAGAATTCATACAAAAACAGTCCCCTGCTCCGGGATTGAGGCCACTGAGGTCAGGAGAGAACCACCAGTTAACAAGATTAAAAGTGCACAAAGTCGTATGTCCTCCAGCTTTACCTGTCCTGCTGCCACACTCAACCTTCCCCTCCGTGAGTGAGAGACGCCAGATATATTTACGAATGTGTGAATGAGTAGAGAACCTGTATCTCAATCAGTAAACGTACTCAGATTTTATATATCTATCATATTAAGGTCATACTCTGATTTGTGATTTCAAATCTGTTTGGTGTTTTGAACAGGAACAGTCATGGGATGTGGCGTCACAAAGTCCGACCACTTCCACAAACACTCTGGAAAAGGTAACTGTCATCCTGCAGACTGATTTAATGGCACTCGGTGCAGCGTAAACATCCGCCAAGGCCCAACAGTCCCCTTAAAATCAACCTGCATCACATTCCACACACTTACAGTGTAAACAGTGTTTTGTCATTAATGAATTAGTCTCTTAGAAATAGATTCCTGCATCCGGCCTCCTGATCTGGATCTGAACCAAAATTTAACAGTTTCTTTCCAGCAATTCTTTCCAACGATATTCCGTGAGAGGCATCATATCTGTAATCTCCCTCTTACGTGAGTCGTATTAATGCATCTTCTCTTTGTCTGTCTGTTCTCCTGCATGCAGCCGTCACAAGTAAGCCACGCCGGTCTTCACTTGTTTATTGTGTTGTTGTTGTTAACACAAACATTTCAAGGGACTTTGGGGGCCCCAGGCAAAAGGGACCCAATAGGGGCCCAATATCGAAACAAACCTAACCAGCCCCAAGAAACACATGATAACAAACCACATCATTCCAATCTTCAAACTAGTCTTTTATCATCACAATTATGAACAAATCGCAGACTGTACATGTAGTAGAGTTGTAAAGTTTTAGTCCCACACACTAAACTAAAACTGACTAAATCATCAACAGCAGAAAGAAAACCCCATGAGACACATTTCCCTTTGATGCATTAATTTAAAGAACATTTTGAAAACCTCTTCTGATCACCATCTGTCTCCTCCAGCTATAAGAGCTGCAGTGCTGATCCAGCGATGGTACCGTCAGTATGTAGCCCGCACGGAGATGAGACGCAGATACACCTGGCACATCTTCCAGTCCATCGAATACTCCGGAGAACAGGCCCAGATAAAGGTGTCAAGCTGTCAGAGAGGATGAGTGTTATTCTCTGAGTTTCTTTTTGCATAATGAGAAAAGCACAAACTCAACTCTCATCTTTCTTTTTCGTCCGCAGCTTTATAATTTCCTCGGCTACCTCATGGACAATTTCACACCATCAAGCAATGAGCGTAAGATTTCACATGAATGGAGTCACTGTATCTCTCGGGGAATTTCCTTGTGTAAAACTGAATCTCATGAGTTCGACCTGTTGTCTTCCAGGAAATCTGATCTCGCACATCTTCAGAGAGAACGATGTTTGTCGGGACGCAGAGTGGGAGAGATATTTCTGCTACAAGAACATCGAGGTGCCAGAGATCTACTCAGGACCTCATCTCTTCTTCCCTCTGACGGTGGAGCAGGCGGTCGGGCTGGTGGAGGCCTTCAGGAACAAGAAGGTGCACAGCAGAACAGTGTTTCCAACCTGCCTGGGGCATGATGACTCAGATTAGTTTGTCACTGTGATGTGTAGAATTGATTTGAACGCATCTTTTAAAGTGTATTGGACCGTTGAGGCAGATACTGATGTTGGTTTTGGGATTTTGAGAGAATTCAGTTTATTCAATTTATCAGCTAATTGTATTTTTCTAAACATAAGCAGTCTCGATAAAGATCCTTTAGATTAAAAGAGCATGGTACAAGTACACACTAAGAGGAAACGCTTGCAGCTGAAATACTAACTTATCAGTGGACAAACTATGCAACTGTGACCCTGACTCTAAATGAGCTTAAAGCTATTTGTGCTTCTGTAGTGTGAGGAGTTACTCAAACATTGTTTTCAAAGTTCTCCAACAGACATAGCACGACACAATGAGCTTGCGTGACGACAGCAGTTATCAGTCACTGCAGTATGATGCAGGTTTCATGTGTTTCTCTGAGCCTGAAACTTCTCCCTGACAAGTCTCTCTCTCAGTAGCAGCTGCACTCGCGCTACGTCCTCCAGCTCCTGGTCGAGACCTGGAAACGGCTCCGCATGTTGCCAAATATCAATCGAATCTCCACCTGTCAGAGTAAAGAAATCACTATTTGTGGTGAGCGGAAAGAAATCACTGTTTTGTTTTCAAAGATGAATTCATGCCTTTTAATGATGTTGTTTGTGAGAGATGATTATGAGGGGAAGGTGATTGGGGAGAATATGCAAAGGAATTTGTGATTACTTGATCTTAAACCGCTGAAACAAGTAGTAGCAAACAAATCCAATATAATCCTAACTAAACTAAAGTAATGTATTACTATATGCAAACTGAGTGCAATGTTTTCTCTGATTTACAAACCAGTTGTAGAAAATTTGATCATTTGTTGCAGAGTTTAAATCCTTGAGGAACCACCACATCCCAACAGATTGTAGGAGCATCATTGCTGAATGAATTAAGAGTGGACATTTTGGTTGTAGTAGTTAAAATACATCCAGACAGATTATGACCTGTGTTTGTTCACTTCACTACAGGTGACCTGCACGGCCAACTGGAGGACCTGCTGCTGATTTTCTACAAGGTTGGAACCTTTTCTTCTTAAATCTTAAAATGTCATCTATTTGAATGAATGAATGCTGATGTTGAAATGGAAAAAAGCAGCAAATTCTTACATTTATTCACCAATGATCAAACTTGTTGTTGATTATCCATGTGTGTTGATCAACTGACTGAAGAATCACATAATAATTCCGTCCCTTCTAAACTTCAGTTTTTGGTGTAAAGGGCATTTGGCTGCAACATGCTGTGTTTATTTCACATCTGGATGCCAGATTGACCGTCTGCTGTTGTCAATGTTACAGAATGGC